CAGGAGGTCTTCGACCAACCTGCCCACCCCTGGAATGTTCTAAACAAGCGCCCTCTAGATCAAATCATACCACATACATCCTGTCCTTCAATTGTAGCAACATTCCCAACATAAGCGAGTGTTCAATAAAATAGATAAAATCATAAAAATCACTAAATTTCATTGCCTCCTGATAAATTTTGTGATTTACATTCTTGTTCAAATTTCTCAGACGTCGTACAGAAGTAATAACATATGTGAAAATAAAAAATTTTCAAACATTTCAAACATAGTATTTTTTCAGATTAGCTATGTTCCATGACCTGGCAAGTGGTCGGCCTTCAGCATCTTTAAGCGAGTACGCTCCTCCTGCGTGCACTCGCTCGACCAGGTATGGTCCTTCCCAGTTTGGCTCCAGCTTTCCCACGTGCTTGAGTACATCGACACGTTTCCAGACTAAATCACCGACTTGAAGTCTGCGAATCTTCACTTTCTTGTCGTGAGCCGCTCGCATCCTCTGCTTATACGCCTCCACCCTGACTGCTGCCTTCCCTCGTAGTTCCTCAATAGTGTCTAAAGCCGCTATCATCAAGTCTTCATTCTGCTCCGTATTGTATGCGCTCGACCTTTGGGATGGCATCTCGATCTCGACCGGTAGTAATGCCTCCATTCCGTAAGCCAAGCTGAACGGGGTCTCTCCAGTGGTTGACCGTGGAGTTGTACGATACGCCCACAACACAGAGTTCAACTCATCGACCCATGCTCCCGAGGCCTTTTCCAACCTTGTTTTCAGCCCGTTCAATATGATCCGATTGGTTACCTCGACCTGGCCGTTGGCTTGCGGATGAGCTACCGAGGCGAAATGCTGCTCGATTTTCATATCTTCACACCACGCTCGAATCCGCTTACCATTGAATTGGGTGCCGTTGTCGGAAATCAACACCTTGGGTACACCAAAACGGCAGCAAATGTTGCTATATAGGAATTTGATTACTTTCTCTTCTGTGATTTTTGCCAAGGGCTCAGCCTCCACCCATTTCGTGAAATAATCGACCGCCATTATCAAGAATTTCCTCTGTCCCGTTCCCTGCGGCATTGGCCCCACCAGATCGACCCCCCATTGAGCGAAGGGTATGGGGGCACTCATCGTTGTCATCGCTTCAGCCGGTTGATGAATCAAGGGACCGTGCTTCTGGCATTGCAAGCACTTTTTTACCATCGCTCTCGCATCCTCTCGCATTGTCGGCCAGAAGTAACTTGCCCTTAGGATCCTTGCGACCAAAGCCCCCGACTTACTGTGATCGCTGGAGCAACCCTCGTGCATCTCCTTCAGCACATATCGACCTTCTTCCTTTGTGACACAGCGTAAGTGTGGTCCTCCATATGACCGCTTGTAAAGGGTACCTCCCTGCTCGAAAAACCTCCTGACCACCTTCATAGTCCCTTCTCTCAATTCCTCCAAGATCGGGGCCCTCCAATCCTCTACCTCCTCGATTTCCGCTACCTCCGTCTCAACTGCACTTCTCTCCATAGGCAATAGAGTGACACTTCTGCTCTTGCAATCGACCAAACTTTGGGCAATTTTCGACAATAGGTCTGCTCGACCATTCTCTCCTCGAGGAATTTGTATTAGTTCGAACGATTCAAACTCCTCTCTCAGCCTCTTCATTTCATCTACATATCTCTGCATCCGATCCTCTTTAACTTCAAAACCTTCTTGAAACTGCCCAACCACCAGTTGGGAATCAGAGTGTACTTGCAACTTTCGAGCACCCCCTGCTGTGGCCAGACTTAGCCCCTTAATCACCGCCTCATATTCAGCTTCATTGTTGGATATCTTGAACCCCACCTTAACCGCGAATTCCAAATAATCACCTTTGGGAGAAACCAGAACAATTCCCAGTCCTGCTCCGCTTCGGGCCATAGATCCATCTACAAACAACTGCCATAGTCCCTCTGACTCCTCTTCGACTTTCGTGCCTTCCTGGATAAAATCGGCCAACACCTGTGCCTTTATGGCTCTCCTTGGCTCGTACATCAGAGAATACTCGCTTAGCTCGACCGCCCACTTCACCAATCGACCAGAGACCGATGGCCGACCCAATGTTTCCCCCAACAGCATATTCGTTCGCACCTTCACCTTATGATTCAAGAAATACGGTCTCAACTTGCGAGCAGTTACAACCACAGCTAGCGCACACTTCTCGATCTCCGAATATCTCGTCTCTGCTCCTTGCATCACTCTACTCACATAGTAGATAGGGAGTTGCGCTGTTCCCTCCTCTCGCAACAATACCGAACTTACAGCTCTCTCCCCGATGGAAATGTATAGCACCAGCTCCTCCCCTTGCACAGGTTTGGCACACAAAGGGAGGTTGGCCAACACCCCTCGCAGCTCCTCAAATGCTTTTTGCGCCTCCTCCGTCCATTGGAACCTCGCGCTCTTCTTTAGGGTTTTGAACAACGGGCAACTCTTCTCTGCCACCTTCGATATAAAACGACTCAGCCCCGCAATTCGACCGGCCAAAATTTGCACCTCTTTCACGCTTGCTGGTGACTTCATCTCCATCACAGCTCGAACCTTCTCGGGATTGACCTCAATACCCCTCTTAGTCACCAGATAGCCCAAAAATTTGCCCGATCTCACCCCGAAAGAGCACTTGGCCGGGTTAAACTTCATCCCATATCTTCGCAACGTCAAGAATGTTTCTTTCAGATCTTGCACATGGTCGAGTTCCTCCTTACTCTTCACCAACATATCATCCACGTATACCTCCATATTCCTTCCCAGCTGCTCCTTAAAAATCTTATCGACCAACCTTTGATATGTGGCACCCGCATTCTTTAAACCAAACGGCATGACCACGTAACAGTAGGTCCCTCGACTAGTCACAAAACTCACCCGCTTCATGTCTTCTCTAGCCAAGGGAATTTGATGATACCCTTGGGACGCATCCATCAGGCTCAGCAACTCACACCCTGCCGTTGAGTCGACCAGCTGGTCGATTCTGGGCAGTGGGTATAGGTCCTTCGGGCACGCCTTATTCAAGTCGCGAAAATCAATGCACATTCTCCATTTTCCTTCCGACTTCGACACCATCACTGTGTTTGATAACCACTCAGGGAATTGAATCTCCTTAATATGCCCCGCTCCCAACAATTTCTCGACCTCCTGCTCGATAATCTTGTCCATCTCAGCCCCATGGTGCCTCCTCTTCTGCTTCACCGGCCTTACGCTGAGGTCGATATTCAGTCGATGTTCAATCACCTCCGCACTTATTCCTGTTAACTCCTCAGCCGTATAGGCAAAAATATCAGCGAACTCCCGTACCAAGTCAATCAGCCTCGACCGAATGGGCTCCTCCAGATCCTTCCCAATTCTAAACTTTCTACCCTCGCATCCCTCGATCATCTGAATTTCCTCAACCTCTTCCCCAGGCTGGATGTCCATCTTCTCCTTGCCCTTGTCCACCTTTTGCTTCTCCTCCTTCGACCTCGATCCTCCCGGTCGATTGATTTCCTCTCCCTTTGACTCAGCCTGTCTTTTCGCCAATTGCTTGTTATTGCTAACTGTTGTCTGGTAGCAGCTTCTTGAAGTAAGCTGATCCCCGGCAATCTCCCCTACGTTTTCGCCCACTTGATATTTGATCGTCATGTGGTACGTGGATACGACCGCCTGGAATGCATTCAAGCTCGTCCGTCCCATGATGATGTTATAGGACGACTCAGCCCCTACAACGACGAACCTCACCATGCGCACTTTCCTCAGCTCCCCTGATCCTAGCGCCACGGGCAAACTGACCTCCCCCATCGGCATAACTTCTCCTCCATTAAATCCATAAAGCGCCGTGGCTACCGGCTTCAGCTCCGTATTCAGCTCATTGTTAATCTGCACGAAACAATCATAGAACATTACATCCACCGAACTTCCAGTATCAATGAACACCCTCTTTACATCAAAGCCCGCCACCTCCGCGGTTATCACCAGAGCGTCATTGTGTGGTAAGACTACCCCCTCAGCATCCTCCGCCTTGAAACTTATTATTGGCATGCGCGTTGTAATCCCCACCTCCTCTCTCTTTCTCTTCACTGCTCGCGCATGCTCCTTCCTCGATCTGTTCGAGTCACCATCTGTCGGCCCCCCAGAAATCATGTAAATCGTTCCTCTTTTCAGCGGGGCCCCTCTTCCTTGTCCGTCTCTATCTCCCTCCTTTCTCGCCCTTTTTCCTCGACCATCCCCTCCATCCCCTTCTTCATCTCTATCGCTCCTCTCCTCGGAATCCTCTCTACATCTCCTCCTGCCCTTTCCTCTCACCCGGTCGTGATAGACAAACTCCTTCAGATATCCTGCCCGAATCAACCTATCGATCTCATCTTTCAAATGCCTGCAGTTCTCCGTGGTATGGCTGTAATCCTTGTGAAATCGACAATACAAATCCGACCGGGGCCGATGCGGGCCGGTGAACCTTGTCTTTGGCCAAGTCACGTCCTCAGTCGACATCTTTTGCTCCATAGCCTCGAGCACTTCCGTCATATCTTTCCTCAAAGGAGTAAAGTTGTGGTACCTCTGCCTCTCGAACACCATAGGCCTCCTCTGCCATTCATCCCTCTTTTCCCTTTTCGTATCTCCACTCCTCCTCCGAGGAGACGCTCTCCTTTGTTCGCTCCTCTTGGGCGAGCTTCTCTTTGGTGATCTCCCCCTCGGGCGGCTTTGCTCCTTCTTTGGTTCTGGTTGGGACATCCCCTCAAGTTTTGCAAACTCCATCTCCATCTCCTCCAGATTAATGTACTTCCTGCACCGCTTCAGAACATCCTCGTATGATCGAGCCGGGGTCTTTGCCAAAGAAGTTCGGCAAGGCCCTGCTCGAAGACTCCTAATCAATCCTCCTGCTTTTACCTCATCTGAAGCGGAGTGCACCTCCAAACATGTTTTATTGTATCGAGCAACATACTTTCTCAGCTTCCTTCTCCCCCTGTTTCATCGCCATAAGGGTCAAGTAAGTCTTCTCTTGTGCCACTGCGCTCGAATATTGATTAGTGAGCTTGCTGGCAAGGTCCTCAAAATCTGCAATCGATCCCGAAGGTAATTGATGAAACCAGTCAAGCGCTCCTCCGCGTAAGGTCGACAAGAACGCCCTGCAACAAACAGAATCAGAGTATCCATGCAACACCGCCATATTCTCAAAGGTCCTCACATGCCTCGACGGGTCGATGACCCGTCATACACCAAGTTGGTCTCCTTGAAATTGTTCGGCAAAGGAGCAGCAAGGATCTCCCTTGAAAAGGGATGTCCTCGAGCTCTCCTCTCTGGCCTTCCCTCCACCTTATCTTGCAACTGGCGCAACTGCTCCGCCATCCTCTCCGTGACTCGATCTCTCCCAGCTCCTCCTTCCCCATAACTAGACACATCCTCCTCCTGGTTCCCCGTTGGCGTTTTCGACGCAGTGGTGGCGTGCGATGTGTGACTTGTAACCTGTTGCACCGCCTGCGCCGCCGCGGCCGCGGCTATCCTCTGCATCTCCTCCCGGGTCATCGTAACCACTTGCTGGCCCGGGGTTTGTACGGCTACCTGCGGTGGCACTCCTCCTTGTGCCTGCACTCCTCCTTGTGCCTGCACTCCTCCTTGCCGTTGTGTTGGATCTGGTGGTGGTGGTGGTGGCATCGCCGCTGCCGCTGCTAAGCGAGCCTCCTGGGCCTGACTGGAGCTGGCACCTCCGCCGGGAACCACCGTCGTCGCCCCTACACCTTGGAAATTAGGTGCGGGAGTGACAGGCGTCTGAGATGGGCCAGAAAAACCCGGAGGAGGGCCGTGCCCTAATGGCCTGGTCGTCGTCCAAGCTTCGTCGAACGTCGACTGCAAATTTCTAGGGATTCCGTCCGCCATAGCTGAGCTTCAAACACAACCTTTTGAACAAAAAATCCCCACAGACGGCGCCAATAATGTAGGTGTAAGCGTCCGGGTCCGGTTTGGAGTAGGTCGATTATTGTCCTTGCCGGTAGAACGTCGAGAACCTGCAAATAACTCTCACACCGGGGTTTGGATCCGGTGAAGAGCCTCCGATGCTTAAGTCAGTATGTGTATGAGTATACTGGAATTTAGAGAATGAATAGAACGTGTTAAGGAAGAAAGGCTCATCCCCTTTTTATAGGGGTGAGATACCTGCCCTAATAGCTGCCCGGATAAGGATACGTGTGCTGCCCAAGCTGCCCGTCCGTACTCTGACACACCGCGCACATGTTAGAGGTGCCGCGGGACGTTTGGGCGTTGTCAGAGGTGGTTATCGCTATCACCCAATACATTGTCGACACGTGTCCACCCGGCACATGGGGTAAATATTCTCCTGAAGCCCGGTCAGAGACCCTCACGCGCGTTTGCTTATACACGCGTCTGGGCTTATGTTGATCAGCTTGCTCGATCACTCAGCTTGCTCGATCACTTATTTGATCGATTGATGGGTAGCTCGAGCAGTCTGATCGAGCACCAGGCTACTCGAACGCCAGTGCAATCGAGCTTTAGGTTGTTCGACCGCTTACGTGGTTGAGCCTTGGGGCTGCTCGATCCCTTGGATTCCCGCCTCTCGGCTTGGTTTGCTCCCGGTCTGCTCTTCTCGACCGGCTCACCAAATCGGTTCGTCCTTATACAGATAATATCCTATATCACACTCAAGTCAAGCTTCTTTTTTACAACAAACACGTGCAAAAAACAAAAAATGGTCAACTCAATATACAAGATGATAAAAACGAGACCATGAGCCAATTCCCCATTTTTTTTTATTTTCAATTTTTTAATTAATTTTTTTTATATGAATTACTTTTTTCAAATGAGAGCCGTTAGGACAATTATTACCTAGGTTTATCCTCGGGGGTTATCCCCGAGTTTCCTAGGCCAGTTTCCCGTACTCCTTAACTCGGTTTATCTAGAAGACTAACCGAGCCAAGAGGAGCCTAATCCTTTCGACTCTCACGAACTCATTTCCGTGAGCTTCTCTTTCCAAACGAAGTTTCCGGACGAGATGATCTAGGTTTAACCTCGAGGGGTTTCCTCGAGTTTCCTAAACCGGTTTCCCGGGCTCATTATCCCAATCCATGAAGTGTCTCGGAATAAGAGGAGCCTAATCCGTACTTCCTCGCGAACTCACATTTTATTTCTTTCTTTATTTTTTTCTTTTTTTAGGGGATGGCGCACACGAGTACATCACATACAATATCATAGTCATAACAATCAAATAAATATATAACTCAAGTGTATAGCATAACATGTTTACACATAATCAAGCACAAGGCAAGCATGCCCAAGATCATCAATCAAGAACGAACAAAGGACAAGAAAGTTCCGTGAATCCACATGCGAGTTCCAATGCCAACAAATAATCATCTCATTTTATGAAAACTGTCAAAATCATTGAGCACATAAGGCATGAGAGTTAATAATGAAAACGTTCGATAATCCAAACTAGCCACTTAGTCATTTGCACTATCGGACTCACATCAAGTCTCATATGGGGAAATCGACACAAAACACAATAAAAACAAACAAAACCGGTCCACGACTCAACAAAAACGAAAAATAAGCACCGAAAATAAGAGAAATGACGCCTAAGCATGCATAATCACGAAAATCCCTCCCCCACACTTAAAACAAAGCGATGTCCTCATTGCTTGACCCAGAAAAGCATAGGAAAGAGCACGTTGACACACAAGCTCATGCAATCGACAAAATAAAACAAAATATATACAAACGAGAAAACGAAAAGAAACACATAGCACATAAAAATAAAGAGAAAAAGAAAATAACGAAGGGAAACAAAAGCGCGTACTCTACACGGTGGCGCACCACCATTTGTCTAATGGTGTTCGTCCAATAGGAATATAGCAAATCATCCGAAGCCATAAAGGTGAAAATGAAGCCATCTGAATGATTGGAAAATCAAAGCGTATCGACCATGAGCCAACCGAGCACTATTACATTTGAGAGCATAAAAAAATCCCGTCCGTCGGCTTTGATTAAAGGCCACATGTATGCGTCTAAGAGGGATAATAACCGGGAATCCACAAACTCGACGAAGACACACAAATGCATGAAAAATCAAATTCGGGCCATGCACCCCCGATAATACTCGCCAAGCATAACCTCAAGCACAACCGAACACCAATGATATAGTGAAAATCAAATCAAAATGCACCGCATGCCTCATAATAATCAACAATAACTCTGAACGAGCCTTACACCGAAAAACAATAGCCAAAACCCTCTAAATTTCAACATAAGCTCACGAAACCCCCGATACACCTTCCCCACACTTAGCATATATCACCCACAACTCAATAAAATTAGGCCCAATTCAAATACAAATGAGTCGAGTTGGTCTAAGTGGAATACCTCGTAAAATGATGATCTCGGCACCAAGAGTAAGAAAAATCGGGCAATGAACCTCGATAAAGCTCCAAGAGAGTGAAAAATCCAAGAAAAACAGGTGAAGGAGGTAGAATCGCTGCAAAATAAGGTTTTCGACGGCTCTAACAGCTCTAAACGGTCTCGGGAGGTCGAAAATGTCGTTTCTGGCCAGAAAATATCGACGGCGACCGGAAAACTGGCCTAGGAGGTTCGCCGAAAAATTCGGCTGGAAAAGTCGTCGGTCGTCGGAAAATGTCGCCGGCGGCCAGAAAATATCGCCGGCGGTCGCCGGGTGCGCCAGGGCTCGGAGGTTCGCCCGGTGGCTCGGTGATGGCTCATGGTGGTGCGCAAGGGCTTGGGTGCGGTGCATGGGTCGTTCGGGTGTGGTGCATGCGGGCATGGTGGCTGGTGCATGGTGCGGGCGTGCATGGACGCGCGGCGCGCGCGGACGGGTGCGCATGGGCACGGCGCGCGGGGTCGCGATGATGGATCGGATTTCTGTCTATACGGGTTGTGAATAATCGCGCAGTCAAGGCCTTGGATTACTCACGATAGGTGTATCTAACAGACGCACTCAGGGCCTTCTCCTAGATACTGTGACTTCGAGACGCTCTAATGGCCCTCTCTCCGACACTGTATGTAAACACGCACTAACGGCCTTGTTTAACACATATTAGAACATAAAGTTCCCCTCTCAATTTGCTCACCAATTCAATACTCAATTCAACTATGAAAATAATGAAGAGTACATGGGGTATTTATAGGTGCTAATTACCTCTAGTTCTAATCTACCTAGGAAACTAATAAAACAATAAAATATTAAATCCTAAGGTAAGTAAATATCCTACTACCATAAAATCCTAAATCTACTAGATCTCCTAATTACTTGTCTTGCACTTCAAGAAAATCTAGAAGCACAAGTCATTCGCACTTTCCCAACTCTCGGCCGCCTCATCGTACGCCGCCTCACTTTGCGCGCGCGTTCGCGAGTCCTAGTCCTCGGTGGACTTGGCGTCTTGCGCGCAGTCTTCATACCTGCCGTGTCCTGCTTGCGCGTGCATACCTGCGCCCAACACTCCTACGCCTGCTAGGATTGGGTCGCCCGCGATTGCCCCGCACTTGCGGGCCATTGCGCGCGCCTCGCGCTTGTCGCTTATCCCCTGCGCGTGAGCGCCCGCGCCCGTCATTCCTAAGCCCGCGCGGCTTAGGCTTCGCGCGTCTTCCCCATACTCACGCGCCAATGCACGAGCCTCGCTATCTCTGGCCATGACCCGCGCGTCCTCGCCACCCGCACGATTGCCGCACACGCCCGACGTCTCGCCCTCGTCATCGCGCCCCGTGCTGCTGCC